TGCTGTTACCTCACCTGGAGTACCTTTACTCCTATCTCCATCAACCTGTGTCCCATCCATCCTTCAAGACTAAGATTTTGTGTCATTTCTGTGAAACCTTCCCCAATTCTCGCAATTAGAATTGTTCTTTTTGTCCTCTGTTGTTCCCCTTGCTTTTTGTGCCTCTATGATACTATTAACACCAGTCTGTCTGATATTCCAATTATTTGTGCAGTTCTTACTTGCTTATTACATTGTCAACTCTTTCAAGACGAGGACCTTTTTTATACATTTTTATATCTCCCACATAGTTCCTTTTCCATAGTAAGTGATTAATGAACGAACATTAGTGGAACTGAACTTTCAATGAAAATATTTTGCATTTTGAAAGTGAGTCTCATAGATAGACAAGCAAGACCTTGCTTCCCAAGATAATATTTCTTTCTGAATAATTGGTTAGTGAAATGTACACTCTACCAGCAGCAGGCACGTACAACAACTAGTTGCCAGCATCTGTAACACGCAGATGGGGAATCTAGTCAAGTTAAAATCAAGTCATAGAGTGAATTTTCCATTTGCAGCTAATAGACTCAAACTACTCCCACACCGTGGTATGTTGTCTCCATTTCCCCATTGGTTCTTTGATATTTAAGCCACTGGACCGTCCATATAATCTATTGTCGACACTAATGCACATCCAAGCTGGCCTCCCTTCCCCCAACACCTGCTGTTAAAAAAAGGAAGAACATTGAGTTAACGGTTTAATGTTAATGTGCGTTGATTTTATTGATTGTGTGTTGGCAGTTCATTAATTACAAAGACAAGGTGTCATGCTTTCGTGTTCTCTTCTGTGACTTAAATACCCTAGTGTGACTTGTGCTGAAGCTGATGTCAGCAAGCCCCTTGATCTCTGAGGATGCTGTAAGTGGTATCATAATGACTATTATTATTACCATTTCTGTTGCTACCTAATGATGGACATTTTATCTTAAAAAAAAACTAATTTACAAAACCATGGACTTTGTGTTGCATTCAGGACAGAGTAGAACTGCCCCATAAGGTTTCCAAGGAGTGCCTGGTGGATTTGAACTGCCAACCTTTTGGTTAGCAGCCATAGCTCTTAACCACTATGCCAGCAGGGCTTCCTCGTGTTGCATTACCTCCATGGAAATTTAAAAAGCGGGTATAAGTTGGTGTGAGTTTCATTTGAGAATTATTTGTTATACTCTATTCTTCTCCTCCTTCATCTCCTTCTTGTACTTTTTCTTTTCCTTCTTTCTCTTCTTTTCCTTCCTTCTTCTCCTACTCCTGTTCTTTTTCCTTCCCCTTCCCCACCACTTACTTAGTTGCCAGTTACAGTAATGAATAGAAGTTTTCTTTTCCATAGATTAAAGATATGTTCCATAAATAAGCTTTCTTTTTTCAATCTAGTAAAATGTTTGAATGCAGCTAATCATGTATGGGGCACTGATTAGAATACATGGGGACTCTCCTGTCTAGGCTATATACAAGCCTTTGAAGTCAGGGGTTTAGGAAGACACGTTTTCTCAGGCAATTGAGTTAAAAGTGTCCTGAACTGAAGCAGGACACCTGAATGTTAGTCACAACTTTCCATAAGCCAGTCATGTATCCTTGGTCACTTAGACTCTTTGTGCCTTGGGTTCCTCGTATTTAAGATGGAACTCATTCTATTTTTCCCAACCCTGTAACAAAGAGGAGGCCTGCTATGTCTCAGTAACCAAGGCATTTGAGAAAGCTGGGTATCTACATGCAAAATGTGAATTTGTCTGCATTTGGGAGCCAGTAAAATGTGGGGCGAGATCACACAAGAAACCTGATGCTGAACAGCTGGATTGCATAATGAATGTGCTTGAAGCCGGCCACACCATTGTGATTTTGTCAGAAGCATAGGCAGCTTTACCTTTCTTAGAAGCTCCCTAAAGAAGTGGTTCTCCAAAGACTTTTCCTAAAGTCTGGGTAGGGGTGGAGAGGCTTGAGGTTGAAGGAAGGTGGGTCATTGCAACAGCAACTCTCAGAGCAACCTGTGAAGGCTTTGTCATCCTACAATAGGATATCATGGCATGTGACTTTGACGGCTGCTTTTGAGCTTTTGGTTTTTCTTCTTGGGAAGCAATTTCCACAAATACCTCCAAAATGAATGCTCTGATGCCTTTTGTGGGGAAGGTTGCAGTTGGAAGTCTTTACTAAATTTTTTATGGCTATTAGTTGATTTAGGTTTCCTATTTCTTTTTCAGTTAATTTGATTATTTAGGTTTTCCTTAAAAAACATCCTTTTCATCTGAGTTTTAAAATTAATTAGCATAGTTGTGCAAAAAATTATTTCTCAATTCACGGTCAATTCTCCTTTCTTATTCCTAAATTTGTGTATTTGTGTTACCTTACGAACCTCTAAATGCTAATCTCTGTTGTTGGCCATGATTTTTTCTTTCTCATTCCTACTTTTCTGCCTTTGTACATCCTTGCAAACCCTGTGATGTTTCTCCTTATCCCCTTTGCATGCGGTTGAGGCAGAAACAGTCCTGGCTGAATCCTCAGAATGTGATTAGCATTCTACCGGGAACCATGAAGAGATATCAAAAAAAACCCAAACCTACTGCCGTTGAGTCAATTCTGACTCATAGTGGCCCTATGGGACAGAGTAAAACTGCACCTACAGGGTTTCTAAGGCTGTAAATCTTTATGGAAGCAGACTGCCACATCTTTCTCCCATGGAGCGGCTGATGGTTTGAACCATCAACCTTTTGGTTAGAAGCCAACTGCTTTAACCACTGTACCACCTTAAAGGAGATATAGAGGGAGGGATATACTTGGTATTTACATTCAGGAAACCTGTGATCTAATGGGAAGGACTAGGTGAGTACACATGAAAATACAGGCAGGTCTTGAAACAAGGCTGTTTTGGAAGTATACCAAATCCTAGAGACCACTAGCAGAGGGATACCCAATGGTGAGATTTCCTTCACTCATGACCCAAACTAAAGGCAGCCAGTCAGGGTCAGGTTGCAGTCTTGAACAAGAGGGTATGGCTGAGATCTTCAGGGTCAAGGAAGTGGCAAGAGGCACTCAATTCAGAGGTCCAAGGATGTATCAAAGTTAGTGGCTCCAGATTTTATCGAGCCAAGCAAGGTCCAAGATGTAGGTGGGAGTCTGCAGTAGGGCTCAAAGCCACGTAAACTCTGCCATTGGGTCTGCTACCAGAACAATATTCAGGATGCTTATGGGACTAACAGTGCCAGCCAGTGTCTGGGACACTTGGAGGTAGTAATCAACAGCACCCACGGATCCTAGCACTCACCGAAATTGAAATGCTCTGTTTCGATGTCTTTCACCCTATCAGACTGTGAGCGCCGTACACTCATGGCCTGACTCTTATGCATCTTTGTATCCCCTGTGCCTGAACTATACATAAGTGCTTTGTATTGCCGGGTGGTTAAAAGCACAGGTTTTGGGTCAGATGGAGCTAAGTTTGTTTGGCTTCACTACTTTCCACCTGGAAACTTAGTGTCTGGGCCTCAGTTTTCTTATCTGTAAAATAGGGATGACAGTAATGACTACCTCTACGGTTTATTGTGAGGGTGAAATGAGATGAGGAATGGAAGTACTTAGCAGAGTGCCTGTCACAGAGAAAGCATTCACTTAGTGGCAGCTCTGATTGTCATTACATGTTTGTAGAATAAATGGGTAAGGGACAAGTGTGATGAAGAAGAGTGTTGGCCTATTTGATGAGGTCAGGGCCCAGGGTTGGGAAGAGGCTTAATGGGAATGACCCTGGCTGTCCTCCAAGTCTCCCTCCCTTCTTTTGGCATCTCTTGGGTGATTGGAAGGCTGAGACAATGGGGATACTCTTTAAGCATTTCTCCCTTTGTATAAGGCTTGCAATCATCTTGGCTGCGGGAACAGGGATTGAATAGACCCTGGGTGGGGGGATGATGTTATCAATATAAACATTTTTCAAATGTAACATATTGGTCTCTGCACCCAGCCAGCTGTTGTCAGTTTGTGAGCACTCTGCCTCTGGAAAGCCATTGCTGGCAGCTTGAATGGGAAGCTTAGAACAGTTAGAGGCTTTGAACACTTTCAAGCTAAGGATGGGGATAAGCATGTTTTGATTCTGGTTTCTCCTGGGGTTTCCCTGGTGTGTTGGACTAATTATTAGATGTAATTATGAAAACTGAGAAGTGGGGAGACTGCAGGGAGCAGCATGCTTTCCCACGGACCCTGGTTTCTTTGTCCAGAAAAGGGGTTAAGGAGACTGTCTTTCTATTGTGGAGAAGCAGCAATGCATAAGGCATTAGATGGCAAGAAATACTCTGGGAACATGGCTTTAACAGCAGAGCTTCAACCCTTTTAGGGCCCATTGCTCTTGATGAAGTTTGAAGTGGTCAGCACAGTTTCCCCTTCCTGGTTCCTCAGGGAGGAACGGTATTCTGGGCCACTGCCAGATTCTTAGCCCATTTTTAGCACAAGTCCAATTTTTGTGTGTCCAAAAGGAGCAGTTAAGAACTGATATCCTTCTTTCAGAACTCATGCAGAAAAAGAGAGGACTTTCCCTCTGGGTAAGCCATAGTGTCTATCAACCATGGGCTGCAGAAGATCTTTCCCATCAGCTTCAGTCTAGACCTCTGGCCCCAGAATTAGGCCAGGAGCACCCTGTCTTTCAGGCTCTAAGGAAAGGTGATATTTGTAGGGCCATCTCCCTGCTGACTTTTTTTCAGAGAAAGCATTCATTCCATTTGGAGATGGTCTCAATCTTAATCTTGATGCAATGGAAACAAGACTACTACACACGGAACATTGAAAGACAATGGTACTCAGTATATAAGCCCTCACTACGGGCCATGGTGCAGACCGAGTGTGGTAGGTATTTTGAGAAAAAGGAGATCCCTGGGGGCTGGAGATGATGGGCCACAAGTGAAGTTTTATTCCCCTGTGAACATGGTGTTAGGTTCATTGTCACAAGACCATCAAATACCAATCCAATGTTTCTGCTTTCTCCATAGGTAACCTGTCTCCATGATTTCTTTGGTGATGACGATGTGTTTATTGCCTGTGGTCCTGAAAAATTTCGCTATGCTCAGGATGATTTTTCTCTGGATGAAAATGGTAAGGACAACTAGTGGATTTTATTGTTCCATTGTCCCCCCTAGTCCATGCCTTAGGATTTCTGTGGTTTCATATGGCCTGGAGAACATCCATGCATGGTCCCTTAAGGGCAAATTTGATTAGCCTTTATCTTGTACATTTGGATACATGGGTCCCTAAGTGAACGTTTGACTGGATATCCCAGATGCCCAGCCTCTAGACTCAATAAAACTCAACATCTTCCCCAATAGTGGCCATATTTCTTGAACCACATATCATGTCACATGGGTTGACAGGCCCAATAAGGCCACAGGAAGGAACATATGCAATCAAAACTGTATGGATATTGTACTTATAGTTTTTTCTAGTCAACGTACTCCAGCTATTAGGCACATGTTGATGGTTCCATTTTAGAAGATTTTCCACTTGTATTCTTAGTATCAAAATTTTCCCTTTTCCTGGAAAGATTAGTCCAAAGACTAACGGACCACAACTACCACGGTCTCCACCAGACTGAGTCCAGGACAACTAGATGGTTCCCGGCTACCACCACTGACTGCTCTGACAGGGATCACAACAGAGGTTCCCAGACAGAGCTGAAGAAAAATGTAGAACAAAATTCTAACTCACAAAAAAAAAAGAAAGACCAGACTTACTAGTCTGACAGAGACTGAAGAAATCCCGAGAGTATGGCCCCCAGGCACGCTTTTAGCTCAGTAATGAAGTCACTCCAGAGGTTCACCCTTCAGCCAAATATTAGACAGGCCCATAAAACAAAACGAGACTAATGGGGCACAACAGCCCAGGGACAAGGACTAGAAGGCAGGAGGTGACAGGACAGCTGGTAATAGGGAACCCAAGGTCGGAGAGTATTGACATGTCGTGGGAATGTTAACCAATGTCATAAAACAATGTATGTACTAACTGTTTAATGAGAAACTATTTGTTCTGTAAAACTTCATCTAAAGTACAATTTAAAAAAAAATAAACTAAAAACTGTTATGCAAAAAAAAAAAATTTCCCTTTTCCCATCTTTGGGTTTGCTGTTCCATTTCACTCTGCTCTGTGGTTCAGGATTCCAGAGGATTGTTAATCTCAGGAAGGAGCCTACATCTGCCCATCTACCTTTGCTTGAGCCCAAGCTCCAGGTGTAAGTTAATGGTGAATTACCTCACACAGCAACAGGGTTTGGATGTGATCCTCGTGGAAAGACACATTCAATACATTTTTCCTGCTTAAGAGGAATAGAGTATGAGAAAAACAAAGGGAGTTCTGCTAATATAGACTTTACAAACAACTTAAGTGACCAACACCCGGAAAGAGGTGACATTTTTGCTGTGTCCCTTTTGAGAAAGGAAAATGACCATAAAATAGCCAAGTAAATCCCAGGCAATGTCTAATTTCCTACAACATCTACATCTCCAAATCTGGACAGTGATCACTAAAGTACCGCATGATCCTTAGTTAACCAAAACAAGGGGTGAAACAAACAAAAAAGAGCTTTCAGAGTAACTCAGTTTTCCATAAAATTCAATTTACCAGAACAGATCCTCTAATCTTTCTGGATAATTGATATTGCAATGTACCTTTAGGTAGGAGGCAACAAGGAAGGGTCCAAAGAGAAAACTACCCTTTTTTGTTCCACTTGGAGCATCATAGCACAAGGTTGAGAAAACTGTAATAGAAAAACCACAAGACTGGGACTCAAGAGACCTGGATTCTAGCCCTTGTTCTGCTACTTTCTTGCTGTGTAGCCCTAAACAAGAGGCTTAAGTTCTTTGTAGCCTTGTCAGCAAAATGGTATAATACTTATCCTAATAAATTATCACTATCAGTGTTCAGGTCCCTGGGTGGTGTAAACTGTTAATGCACTAGGCTGCTAACTGAAAGATTGGAGGTTCAAGTCCATCCAGAGGTGCCTTGCAAGAAAGTCCTCGTGATCTACTTCCAAAAAATCAGCCATTGAAAACCCTATGGAGCACAGTTCTACTCCGTAACACACGGGGTTGCCATGAGTCAGAAACAACTCGACGGCAACTGGTATCAGTGCCCAAATTTATCATAACAGGATGCTGAGTGGCCTGTAGAGAAAGAGTGCTCCAAATGTGTCAGACTGGGGCTGGCACAAGTAGCAGGAACATTTGACAGATTCACCTACACACTCCCAAGCCTTCTATAAATTCTGAGTATCAGAGTCAATGCTGGCCTATTTACTCATTAAACCAGCATGAGGGATTATGATAATGTGCATTGAAAACTGAAAAGAACTGTATAAATGCAAGGTGGTGGTGGTAGTGCTCATATTACATAAAATGGCATGGCATCCATAAAGTGCCAATTACAATGCATGGCAATAAGACAATAAATGGTAACTCCCTACCCCTCTTTTAAATTACTCATGAATGTTTCATCTGTGTAGCTGCAACTTCTGAGCTGTCAATCTCTTCTCCAAGGAAATTAATTAAAGATATGTCAACAGGTGCAATTCCGAGATATGGCTAGATTGTACACAAATTATTGAGTTAACTGTTGAATTACTGACTCAGCTTGCTTTTGAACTCTTTGTTTCTGTAATCTAGGGATTTAAACACCTGGCTTAGACCAGGTGACTTTGGAAAATCTTTCTTGTACGCCCCTCTCCAGAGCCATCATTCCTTCAATGAGGACCATCTAGGCCACATAAGTGCTTTGGCCTATGGTGGTTATTCCAGTTTCCAGAGACCTCAGTTCTCCCCTGGCTCTGCTAAGCTGTCTATGCGCTTTTCCCCTAGAGTGCCGAGTCATGAAGGGAAACCCATCAGCCACAGCTGGCCCAAAGGCGTCCCCAACGCCTCAGAAGAGTTCAGCCAAGAGCCCTGGTCCTATGCGCCGGAGCAAGTCTCCAGCTGACTCAGGTAACGACCAAGACGGTGAGTGCCCTTCTCCTAACTGTGCACGCTGACTTCGTTTATGAAGACAGACACCCTCTGCATGCAGAGGAATGAGTTCCTCATGAGCACCACTGTGTCTCCATGATACCAATTCCATCAATTCAGAGAACAAAACAGGCAAACTTGTATGGAGTCATGGAGACACAGCCACAGTCCTTATTCTGTTAAAATAGATGCAGACCAGAAATTTGGTCTATTTGCCATGCTTGCTGTAATGCTTGTTGTCATGGTTGTCATCATTGTCATCATCTTCAACATCATCCAGCAAAAATATATTCAATGAAATAATCAAGTCAGATATAAATTAGAAATAAAAAAATCAGAATCAAAAACAGTAATGTAAAAAGAGCCACCTAAAAGTGTCAACATAGTTGATGCACTTGAGCTTCAAATTTGACTCTGAATTTCCTAGAAGGCAAAACAAAAAGGGAAACAGGATAAATCATATCATTTGCACAATGAGAAAAGAAAACACAGAGCAGGTTCTGAAAGGAATCAAAGAGATTTGTCATATAAGATTTTATTCAGAGGATAGTGAGTGATCTCAAATCGTGTTATTCAAAGTGTGGCCCATGGACCACTGCCAACCCATGAACTATTTGTTATCAGTCTGTGATGAGATTAGGAGCTTGTGCCAAATGTAAATCAGCTATGCCACTGAGCAAACCATTTAGTTCAGCTGACTTTTTCTTTTCATAGCAAAATTTTGTTGATGTAGGAGGCAGTGTACTGATTTACATTCTGACACAAGCTCCTAATCTTGTCTTGGATCTGCAGTTTGAGTGGCACTGACCTAAAAGGCAATGTCTTTCATGTGCGTAGAGCAAATGTTGTTACAAATAAAATGCCACAGAAGTCCAAGTTCAAATGCTTAGTAGACTCATACACAATTTGAGTTCTTTACACTAAGGAAATGATATGGTCCAGAAGACTTGCACGTTTGTCTTCCCAAGGTTCAGGGTTCACCATGAAAGTTCATCTAACCTGAGAGCCTTGGAGAGAGAGCAGAAGGGCCTCTTATCTCTCTCCTTCAATTCCAGGCAGCTTGTGCAGCCTAAGCTTTCTGTTGGCTTTGAAATTCCTGTTTCCTAGAAAAAAAGCCTGTCTGGCCTGCGTCACACTGCCAGGATAATGCATATCACCAACCATCTCTTCATTCTCAGGCAGAGGGTATTAAAGTGTGAAAAGACAGCCCAGACTTTTTATACTTCCATGTCTTTGCACACTCTGCCCTCCCCACCCCAGCCTGGAATGCAATCCCCCTACCCCACCACTCTTCTTTGCTTGAAAGCTACTATTCATCCTGTTAAGACCTCACATAGAGATACTTGTTCCATTCTCTACAATACCATAGCATGTTATTCTCATCTCTGGTGTAACATTCACCACACTGTGTTGTAAAGTATGTGTTTACCTGTCTACTTCCCCAACTAAATTCTGAGCCCTTCAAGGGCAAGGGGTCAAGTTCATCTTTGTATCCTCAGTGCTGAGCATAGCGCCTGGGCCCTAGTAGATGCTCAATTAAGGTTTATGTATGAATGGATGCATAAAAGCACGTACTTCACTTAGCATGGTGCTAGAGACCCAGTAAGCATTTAGGTAATATTTGCTGAAGGAATAAAAATATTTGTGTTTTGGTGATATTTTGGTCAAGTATGCAGAATAACAAATGAATCTAAGTAAATTCGTATTGCTGAAATGACAAATACCTAGGTTTTAACACTTGAATTGGGAATGAAATTGTTTGGCCAGTTTCTCAGCAGGGCCTTGCCAATCAAATTCATAACATCCAGCAACAGTCTCTCAGCTAATTATTTTTCAGAAATATCACTGGCCATTTCTGAGACTTCTCACCTGTATTAATTATCTCTTACTGTGAAACAATTGATCCCAAAACTTAGTGGTTTAAAACAACAAACATTTATTATCTCACAGTTTCTGTGGGCCGGGAATTCTGGAGCAGCTTACCTGGGTGATTCTGGCTCAGGGTCGCTCATATGGTCTCAGTCAGGATATGGGCAGGGGCTGCAGTGATCTGAAGACCCCACTGCAGTGATCTGATGGCTCACTCACATGGCTGTTGGCAAGATCTATCCCCAGGGCAAGTGATTCAAGAGAGTGACCAAGGAAGAAGGTGCAGTGCCTTTTATGACCTAGTCTCTGAAGCTGCACACTGTTACTTCTGCTTTATTCTATTCATTAGAAGCAGTCACTAATTCTAGCTCATACTCAAGGGGGGAGGAGTGAGGCTCCAACTTTTGAAAGGAAGAGTATCAAAGACTTTGTGGACCTATTTTTAAACCATCACATAACCCATTAGTTAGAAATGCTCAGGTGGCAGCAGCTTGAAGTCAATAGATTCTCTTTTCAGACTGTATCCAGTTGGGCGCTTACCTGTAATTGTAATTAAGCATAGTTTTGCTGTTGTTAGTTGCCATAGAGTTGATCCCAACTCATGGCAACCCCATATGTACAGAGTAGAACTGCTCCATAGGGTTTTTAAGGCTGTGACCTTTTGGAAGCAGATCAGCAGGCCTGTCTTCCGAGGCGCCTCTGGGTTGGTTTGAACTGCCAACCTTTCAGCTAGTAGTTGAAAGCTTAACAGTTTGGGCTACCCAGATCATTGATCTCCAGCATGATACCTACAGAATTCCCCTTCTACAAAATATGCACCTCATTGACTCTAAGATATTAGAGACAGCAAAATATAGGACTTAATGGATATTTTTCAAACTGAAAGGAATTATAATAGATCCCAACCCAGGGTTAGGAAGGCAATATCTGCTTTTGCTCTTGCTCCTTCACAACTTCCTCTCTTTCACAATATAAACAATATAACCAGAGCAACCAACTTGAGAGAGAAAAGGGGACTTTATTTGGTGGGTATCAGAATTATAAACAGCTCATGGTCCCTAGCAACAAACAATCAAAAATGGTGTTCTCAGTAGACAGAATTGGAATCTTTATTTCAGATAGTTCATGAACACAAATGAAGTCAAACCCTAGTCTAGACAGCCTTCATGACAATTTCCAGAATGTTTGGGCTCATCTCAGATGATGTGTCTAGAGCCTCCACATGGTTTCAGTTATAAAAGGTTGCAGGGGTATCCATGTAACATGAACTTGCATATTCCATGGCAGGTTGTTTAGAGCTCAGTCCAAGGCATCCATTCAGTCAACATTCCCTATGAGCAAAGCTGGTCTCAGACAAAACAAAACTTTAGGTAAGATTTGAGTTTGATATAACCCATTTCAACTCAGGACCATTCCAAACTGGGCTGTGAGGAGGATATGAAAGAGGAGGTGGAGACATCTCTCTAAGGTCAGCTACACTACTTCCTAGCTTTGTGACTTAGGGCAAGTTTCTTACCTTCTCTAAGTCTTGGTTTCTTCTTTGGACAAGATATAATTTGCATGTCTATAGATAAGAATAATTTTCCATTGTTATCAGTTACAGCTAGTCTCCAGGTTAGGGGTCACGAACGTCTGACTTATGAACCTCTCCACAACTCACTCTTACTTGCCCTTTAATGTTATGTAAATTTGCCCTCACTTTGAGAAGATTGATTGAACCAACGCCTACTCCCAACGAATTCTTCATCATAATCACCTTCACTTGCTGCATGTGCAGCTTTTAAACCATTGAATAGGCTTTGAGCCTTTTCTTGCACTAAAGTAAGGCTAAGTAAGAACCATATGTACTGTTGCGATTTACCTACAAAATCTTAAAGACCTACTCAAGAACGGATCTCATTCGTAACCCTGGGACTGCCTATATTTATAATTTACAGAGTTATCAAATAGCTCCTACAGAATCAGAATCAACTAACCAGAAGGATGAGCTATAGACAATGCAGAGTTTTCCATTAGCACAAATTTTTCCTGTACAGACACTTGAGATTTAGGAAGAAAGAATTATTTCCTAAAATGTCAATACTTTCCTGAGCTGTTAGCAAAGGACATATGCAGGTTAATATACATTTAAACAAAGAATAATGACATTGGGTGTTGCTAACATTCTTTGTCCTTTTCTAGGACATGGTAGTACCATCCTGTTTTCATCCTGTGTTAGTCTTAGATGAGGGACTTGTAGATTGGTTCACATACCTTCATTCAACCTGAGTAGCTGAAGGAGCCCTGGTGGTACTGTGGTTAAGTGTTTGGCTGCTAACCAAAAGGTCAGCAGTCTGAAACCACCAGCCGCTCCTTGGAAACCCTACAGGACAGTCTTATAGGGTCACTATGAGTTGGAATTGACTCGAGTAGCTGAAGGTTATGGAAGATAGGCCATTTCCAGGGAATTTTTACTACCTTCCTTTGAAGGCAAGAGAAAGCCAGAAGTTTCCTCTTTAGCAGGGACTGAAACCAAATGAAACATTGGCTCAATTCAGGTTCGGTTAAAGGAATGTTTTGATGTTCTGGTTTATTAGAAAATATGTAGGTTTGATTCTGGTTTGAACAAGTTTGCTAGACTTAAATATATATATATATATATGTATATGTTTGATCCAATTAATGATTTAGTTAATATCTGGGTTCAGTTTGACTTGAGGTTTAGTAGATTGATGCTACTTGGTCTGTTATTTGGGTCATAATTTGATTCCTTAGTCCTTAAGTTGTCTCTTTCCTCTTCTGCCCCATAAATAAATCAAAACCTTTCTACTTTAATCCCTTCAAATTCAATCCCCACTCCTGCCAATATCGGGTTTGTCCCAAATGGAATATTTGTTGCTAAGCCCTAAACTCACGTTAAAGAAGGATTTGGTTGTCCATATAATATTGCTATTTAAAAAAACCCATTGACAAGGACATGATTCTGATTTATAGTGACCCTACAGGACGGAGTAGAACTGCCCCATAGGGTTTCCAAGGAGCAGCTGGTGGATTCGAACCACTGACCTTTTGGTTAGCAGCCAAACACTTAACCACTGAGCCACCAGGGCCCTAATATTGCTATAGGGAAC